AAAAGAGGGCCAATGGGAATGTGAAGTTCGATCCGGATCACATGCTGAGCAGTCCAGAGCCTCTTGCTTTGTTGGGAGGAAAAGTGAAGTGTTATTCTGTGGTTAATACCAACGATGGAGGTACGTTGCTGTAGTGCTGTTGTATGTGTCTTGATACTGGTGTTGGAATATATATGTTTGCTCTCCTCGCTTCTGGTCAGGAGTTTCCTCACTAATTGTAAAAGCTTACTTATGAATTCGCATAGAAATGTACATAAATTAATAGTAATTCTCCGAAATTATTTTCATATTGTCGTCAACATATGTAGTTGACGATGTGCATATTTCTTTTCCCAAACTGTACTGATGTGTATGCTGAAACTATGGGCGCAGCACAGCCGTTGCGATTCTGTACAGCAGACTACTGTCTTGGTAGATTAATCATGTATTCTCCGATATAGGGGTTTTTACAGGTCAATACTACCGTTGTGCATTGTGTATGAAACTACAGCTGTTCAAGACAGTTGACGCCCTTTCGAGACACCAATCGACTCAAGCTTGCAAGATGGCTGCATCAAAAGCCCAGGCAACTGAGGAAGCTCCATCAAATCCGATAGCGGAACCAATGATGACTCATGTGGCCGTCGAGGTCGACCAAACGCGCGAGTCGAAAGTGGGGGAAAATACCGGGGATATATCAAAGCCAGCCGGACCTGCTGAGGTGGGGACAAGAGTAGCTCGTAGATCCCATGAAAGGTGGGCTTCAGACTCCGGTGTTGAACGCGGTAGAGTTGTCACCATTAACGAGGCCGACCTTCCATAGAGAAGCCAGCCCGCGATCACCGCTGTCGACCGGTCCTTCCGTCAGTGGTCCTCCGGATGAATCAGTTGATAAGAGTGGAATGCCTCCGAAAGTTAGTGGGATCATTCCTTTTGAAGACTCTGTTTCACATGGGTTCATCAGTGCTTCTGTCGGCTCGTGCTGAGCCGGGAGATGCCGAAGGTTGGAACATCGCTGCTGAATTTTATGACTCGTGCTATGAGATCCATCGTGGAATGACTGTATCGATGGAAGATTGCACGCGGCCTCGTTCACCAACTCACGAAGTTTCAAACACAGAACTCTAAATTACTCAGATTTACACGCTAAATTGTCGGATAAGGAATGAATCGCCCTGTGGTGAAGGAGCTATGACAGAGCTCTCGAGGCGCACTTTTTTATCGCAGAATGGAACTGCGTGGGAGACGACTGTGAATACGACGGAGCTCGATCAGCTGAAACTCTCACTTGTACACGCCGACGAGGAAGAAATTTGCGAGGTCTTCAGGGAAGTGACAGGGGAGGAGGTGATGAGTCCCTCACCCCAACGATCCTCTATTTCTAACCGGCTTAGGCCCCTCCTGGCTGTAGTCGTAGCCTCATCGCAGGCATTCTATTAGATCGTCTCGGTGGTGGCATCGATAACAAAGATCATCAACCTCCTTGTTTAAAGTCTCAGCGGCATCTGCCGAAAGCAACTGAGCCGACAGCTCTACCATTGGCACAGCCCGAAAAGAATCGGGTGTTACCGAAGCGGACAGTTTATGATCATCCTGCAGCGTTTGAAAAACCCGAATTGGATAGTAGATCTCGGGTGGAGAACCCGGTGCCAGAGCATAAGAAGGATACAATCCATGTTGTTTCCGCATCGCCTCTGAGAAAATTCGTCGAGCTGCGAGCTCGGCAGATTCGGAATAGGTTCGGGAATTCATTCACAGAAAATGAAATCACAGATGTGCTCCTACTCGAGTGGCTGAGGTGGAAATCTCGTCCGTGTTTGCCCGCCGAAGTCACACCATGTGATTCGAGCACTGTGGTGATCGACGAACCAACCAATGAGACCAGTTCTGAAGGGCTCGAGAAGGAGCCGCAGTTGAAAACAACGGAGGGTCGCGGAACGAAATCGACATCTGACCGTAAACGGAGGAACAAAGTGCCGAAGGAGCCGAGAAAAGCAGCGAAGAAGAGACAAAGGTCGACCCAATCTGAGACTAATATAAATCCTGTCAATGAGATAGCGCTAGCATGGAATAAGACCTTCCAGCAGGTAAGCTTGGGAACTCGGGCCGCGGCCACATTGATCCCTATTTCGATCTGGTGCTATATAATGTATTATTCTATAGCAGCTATTTTGTGATGAAGCCACGGCGGGGAGAAATGACGTCCGTTATTCGCGCTCTATTGTCGCAGTGTTGGAAATTCTTTCCCTGATGAAGGAGTCACTTTCAGGTAAAGACTGACGAGAACTCGGCCAGTCGATCGAGACGTAGACCGAGACGAGGTAGCACAAGTACCGGGTTATGTCGCATATCATGAGACATAAAAGGTTCTTCTACTCTCTGTGAGAAGTGCCGTGGTCAAAGCACGATACCGACGATTAGATGCTGCAACTGCCAAAAGCATTGGCACAAGGCATGTCACGAGCCAGAGCTACCGGAGGAGGTCGACTTCACTAAAATGGTGGTGCTCCTGCATTATACTCGCCAAGTTCTGCTATAGCGTTCAGGAGTGGGTCTGCTGGCCGTGTCAGAAGAAATGGCTGGCTGGTCGTAAAGTGTGCTATAGGATTGGCGAGGATGTGTGGAGCTCGGTGAGACAAAGACAAGTTCTGTGGCCGAGCGCGGGACGGATCAAGTTATCGCTATCGCAGTTTAAAGTTGTTCATATCAGTGCTTGCATTTTATATGCGATCTAGTTTCGGATCGATTCTTGATAATCTTGGAGAGTAACGCATTTGTATGTTGAATTCATACACACTGTGTGCTCAGAGTGTTCGCAAGAACATATGGTGGCCGTGTAAAGTAACTGGGCTACAGTGCCGTCACCCATACGACCCCTACATCTACTCCGTTGAACCTTACATGTCTAGCGGCAAGGCCGCTACTGTTGCAGCATGCGAAGTGACCGCAGTAATCATAATAAATAGCACAACAAATTCTTCAGAAGACGATGAGGCCCTGGGAATGGATGGAACAAGGGGCTCCTGCTATAGCCACGGCATTGTCCAGGAATGGGAAAGCAATTAGTGGCAAAAACCTGAAGGAGATACTTACAGTGAGGCTTGCCTAAAATGTGTTTCTGAGGGGCGCGTGACAGATTTATAATAACAGTAGCAAAACCGATATGGAAACGTAAGAATGATTGCCATAAGATCCTCCTCGAGTAGAGAATTCTCTTGAAAGGTCAAATTATTGTGCTGCTGTGCTGCTGTTGATTCGTAGGTTATCGAGAAAGTGAACTCAAAACGAAGTGCATCATCGATGGATAGCCATCAGCAATAGCAGATGAGATATGCTTGTTCCGGGCATTGCGAGATGTTGTTAACATGATGTTGGCTTGAATATCGCATGCGGTATTGCTACAGTGATGTTTCTTAACAATACGTGCTGTGTGAGTTCGAAAGTCCGACTCGGTGGGCTGCCAACATTCAACAGCCGTTGATCATGGATACCAGACGCCGAAAACTATGTGATCCAAGACTATCATAGATCATAATCATGATGTGATTCGTGAACTATGCGATGGTCTCTGCCATAGACCCATCACATTTGCTCGGCTCGGCGGTGGGCTTGTAGGGAGCGTTTAGAGTCTTGGGGAAAACAGAATCTGAGTAGACCAAACCACTAAGGCGCGCTTTAATAGTTTGAGCAATAGTAGTCTCTGGTCCTAATAGTGGTGGCCCAAGAGCTAGTAGTGGTCGAACTAGTCACGATCACAGAGTCTAGTGCAGACAGTAGAAGACTAATCGGTCTATAGCCACCGAATACAGGGTGCTCCAAGTAAAATGTGTTTTTTTGAATAGCTTTTTGTAAAAGTTGAATATTCAGCGAAGTTTCAAGCTGTGAAAAGTAACATTTATATGCAGTTATTACTCGAGTAAAATAACAGCAAAGTGTGACCTGTTCCGTTGTAAGCGAATTTTGACCAGCTTACAGAAAAAGTTAATCAAAACAGCACATTTTTTTGGGACACCCTGCAGTTAAGAAATAATCCGCCTAAATTCGACGGTCTAATCAATCTACAATTGTACATTATGTACAACTATAGATTGATCAGACCGTCATGTACAGTACATACCATATGCTAAGCGTCAATGTGGGCCGTATGTTCGGCACGTTCTTACGTATACATCTATACTGAGCTCAGCAAGAGGGCACAAGATAGCAAGATTAAGCTGCGAGTAGTGAATTGGTCGACACGTGTGACGCTTTACGTGCAACTGCACAAAAGTTGCTATTGGTGACATCCGCAGTATTTGATGTCAACGCCCAAGGGTTTTATAGTGTCAATTGTATAGTCCTACTTCATGTCCTGTTCCTCGTCAAGGCATCTCAACCCGTACACGGCTGTCCAAGGCACTGTACTGATAGTAGCCCCACGGGCGGCTGACATGTCGTCCAGTTTGAAGCGAATGATCAATAATTACCTCGCAGTGTTCACTCTGCCTGGGCAGGTAAGTCTTATTGATGATTTCGTCTATAACACGAAAGTCTTGCCGTTGGATCGTTATGAAAATTATTTCCTTTTTTGGTAGGGAGAACTAACGTATGTAACACATTGTCGTTTCGAGACGTGTGTACGTCTCGAGATGTTAATTTCCTCTCGTTGTCGGGGACTTCACAACACAGAATAACTAATTTTCCCAAGTCCCTGAACTGGCTTAAGAGCTATCTCACGCCTCAGGCCGACTTGACGATGCCTGAACATCTCACTGCATTTCCGAGGCTAGCGTTCGATCAGATCGCCCTGTTCAGCGAGGAAGCCAAAATGAAGGTAACTCTACAGTCAAGCGTCGTTGCACGTCGGGATCTCTTCAGGTTGACTATTATTTCCTCAGCAAAGTCGCCGCTCTGTTGAAGCCCGCTGGAGTTGTTAACATCTTCGTAAGCATTGAAGTGTCCGGAATAAACCCTACAGTAGATGTTCCTAGATACTACATCCAGATGATAAACTAGATCTAAGCATGGAGACGGTCTTTGCTGGTTTCACTGGTGGCCATGAGCTAAATAAGGCATGTGGTTTTGTCCACTATGCTTGTCGGAAGCCAGGAACGCCCAGTGTTACTTTTACATTTGATATGGTAATTGATTCGGGAGGAAGCTCCACATTATAGGATGTATGCAACATCTCCTTAGCCTTCATAACGCCACTGTACGCTCCTCGGCCGAATTCACTATGGTGTTTCCACTGTGTGTGATTGTACACTATTTTGTTGTAGGCCCAATCAGCACTCTGTGGTAAATCCTTATTGGACAACGACGATGATGATGAGGATGACTTCCTTGAACCCGTACCGGAAACCGTTGGTGGCGGGAAAGATTCCTGCGATAACAAGCCACGAGCATGCAAGTAGGATAAGCTTCCTTTACTTCCTTTCTGAGACCATCGATGGGACGAATTACCTTGAAAATCACCTCCAATATGCACTCCTAGTTTTAGAGTGGGCGGCTACTAATGCTTATCATACTCCAATCTGGCTCGAATTTGTGCATAGTTACGCATAGTCGCGCTTGAGCTTCATGTGATAGCTAGTTGACCCGAAATAGTTAATCTCAGCTGTTAAGTGGTGTGCTTACTACTCTTAGAAATTGCAGCTGTGGACGTGCCGAATTAGAGGTAAAGGTTGGTGCGGAAGAGGCCAAGAAGAGGATTGAAGAAGCCAAGAAGGGCGAGGTCAAGAGTAACTGTGGAAACTGTTATCTTGGCGACGCATTCAGGTAGTGACGCATGCGCTAAGGAGTCTCGCTTCCCATCGAATTTTCATGTTCCAAATCCACCAGCAAGTAAATTTTGTCGCGGAATATGGTCATTGTCAATTACATGTGTTGGCGACAATATTGGAAGTCTGGGGAAATTCGCATTGCTTCCTGTACACTAATTCGTATGTAAACTTCTGTAATTAGTTAGGAAATTCATGAGCTCAGCTTAGAAACTCGAGCATATATTTCTCCAACACTGAGAGTTAACGGGTTTAAACGATTTCCCCATATCATAACTAGGTATCTGCATTTTTTTATAATGATTAGACTCGTTGAGCGCTGTAGTAACATTTTCGTATCAGATGTGGTACCTGTCCGTATCGTGGGTTACCTGCCTTCAAGCCCGGTGAGAAGATTCAGATGGATCAGCTGATATCTGATATTGACGCTAAAGTTGAATAGACAATCTGCTGCTCACTACTGTTATATTGCATCACTAGCCTCTGTTCAATTGTATCAATAAAACTTCTGAGAAAGACAGTGTACTTTCAATCACTCAACCCATAGACAATTTGCGTTTGGTCAAGTTACTTCTAATTGGATCGTACATCATTGGTTTGCGCTACAAATTCGCGAAGAGCTTATACGGTAATGTGTATATTGGGAGTCACTTTTGATCCACAACCTATCGTATTACACTTCCCTAAGGTGTAACAGGTCATAGGATATATACAGCGTAGTCCGATATCAATAGCTTATGTTAGCTAGAGTGTGCAGTAGTTAACACAGCTGAGTCAGCCCAACTCAACATAGCGTTCAGCAGTCTTATATATCAAAGACGACATTCAACTTGGTCTTGCACTGTCGCGTAGATGTGCTGAGATTGTGGTATGTCGCAGTTATTCCATCCAACTTCGACACTTTGTGGAACACAAATCAATGATTGTCCCACATCATTACAATGATACACTGATTGGCTCTGCTCACCAATAAGCAATGATTACCATGCATGACAAGACTAAAAAAGGAGATATGTGGTAAGTTGGTAAATGATAAATCATCGATGGGGCTTCAGCAGTCGGCCCCGAAGGACCAATAGAGGCATAAGGAACTGCTGATTCCTCCCCGAATCGATACCTGAAGTGGGCGAAATCGTCCGGAAGCGGACTATTTAGCTCAGTGAATACCCTTCAAAAACGTGCTGAAATACCAAAACCCGATCCTCGCCTAGCATTTTAACAACCCAGTAGTTCGCGTTCGGCAGCTGTGATGGATTTTTCACCGAGAAATTAATGATCACCTGAGCGACCATGCTACACGAACACAGAACAAACAGGTCTCTCACCGTTCCCTCGCGAAGACCTTCAACTTCTGTTACTAGTCCTAGACTCAGTGATGCTCTCATAAGACGAATAATGAGGCGATTTCCGGCTACTGATACCTGGTAAAAAAGTAACGTACGAACAGCTCGGCAATCTTGGAATATATGTTCGCTTCCCTCAGCTGGGCTCAGGAGTTTCCTCACTAACTATACATGTTCACATACAAACTCAGATGTAAATGTACAGAAACCAATGAGAATTTCATCAATGTTTCTCAGAAATTTCACGAGTATCACCTACACGTCTAGTTGACTATGTGTACAATCCCCCCACACCGCAGATCAGTAAGGCACTCACCGGAGCCACATCCGATACGGGGATGTTGTCGGACAATACGACGTTGGATGGAGCGGTCATTGCCACGTCCTGGGGCGCCTCGACCTGATTGATACAGCAAATCTCAACTGTGACAAGTCAACGGCATCTTACATGTATTTCGAGCACCTCTTCAGGTTGCATATCTCGACTGATTTTTAGGACTATTTGAACTTTCGAGATGCTCTGAGCTTCTACTGCATCCCATGCTAGGGCGGAGCCAATGATCGGGACGTTGGCCAGATCCTGAGGGATTCACCCCATTACACAGTAAAGTAATCATTAACTCTGCCAAGTTCTCGATCTCTTCAAAGCTCATATAGCGACCTCAGTTCTTTGTTTGCTATTGTGGATGCCGCTCTTACTAATAATGACGCGTCCGAGCAAACAGGCGTCGATATCCTCAAATACAGCATTCATACTTGCTGAATTCCGACCAAAGTAGGAGGAGGCGAATTGATTCTGGCTATGTCTCGACAATTATACTCCTCTGCTGCGACAGCTCCCTCTCATAACAGCATTATTATGGAGTGATTCTCTACGAACTCACCATGCCTAGGACCGCCATATTAGCGTCGATGGTGTTGCCTTCTGTATCACGAAGTATCAGCTCGAAAGTATTTCTACTGATGCCAGTATCAGGGTCTGGTGTAAGCGGAGCACCGGGGTTGACGATCTCAATAGCCACAGTGAAACCTCTGAAAAAATAACCTAGCCGAGGATCGAACCCGGGCGGACTCTACATCCCTTGATCGATGGACACCTCAGAAAACTGAAGCTTGATGGCTGACCCCGTAGTGCCGATCTGTTCCTCGCATTGAGGAGGCGTCAACAGACCGACACGATACGACGGGGTACACTTCAGTTCATACCCGACCGGTGGTGTCTGCAATAAGACTGAGTCTTCAATTACAACGAGCACTTGAACGAGCAGTGCAACAAATACAACTGATCGTCATCTTTTTCGTGAATGTAACTCTGCTATTCAGGTTGTTCGTTAACTTGAAAAACTTTCACAAAATGCGAAAAAATAGCCACATGTGTTGGTGACAATATTAATATTCTGCGGAAATTCTGGGAAATCCTCAGTGTTTTCTGTACACTTTTATCACAATTTGTATATAAACTTCTATAATTAGTGAAGAAACTCTTGAACTCAGCTGAGGAGAGCGAACACATATTCCTCCAACACTGCTTGCACAGAAAAGTGTAGACAAAGTTGAACTCACTATATCGATTTGAATAGGACCAACTATTTCCTGGGAAGACACGAATGTGAAAAATCCCGGAGCGCTCACGCCAAGACGGTTACTGCCCAGAAACCTGCCAACAAGTTATTTCGTGGCGCGCGAAATATTGATAATCTCCTTACTGTGCCTCCATTGCTTTGATTTCATACCCGTCCTCGACCTGAATATACCAGTAATGGGAAATGTTAGCATCGAGATAGAGAGCAAGTCGCCAGGAATTGTCAAGTGGTGTAGCATCAGGATTCACACACACCATATCGATAATCGTTTGACCTGCAATACGACAAGCAATATTAGAGTTTCATCCGTGATATGAAAAACATATTTCACAATTCACTCCACGAAAAGCAGCTGCGTTGTCGGTCAAGAAAACATACACGTCTTGAATTTACATGGAGTATTACGCCACTTCACGTTAAACGGCTGAGACTCTAGTGAGTCGCTGGTTCTTCTACTCAGCGCATGAAAACTTAAGAGAATAGAAGCGCCTTAGGTCCGCAATCAATAAGGGCATCTTTTTTCAGTATAGTCCTATCGGTCGACAGCACCGCGAGTCAAAGGAAGAATTTTCAGAAATTTTTCCTCGATAGGGGAAAAATTTCAAAATAAATCCAAAGAAATCAACAAAATTTCTTAAAAAAGAACCCGGGAGAAAATGCGGCATAAGAACTTCATCTGAGAAATGCTACTCCAATGTGAAGTTTCACACATAATGTGGAGGAATATGAACATGGTCAACTACATAGAGAAATTCTAAGGAAATTTGGAGGAATTCTCTGTGCGCTTCTACCCGGATTCGTATGTGAACTTTCACAATAAAATTTCTGAGCTCAGCTGATGAAAGCTAACATATATTCCAATACTGTTCACACCGGATCGGGTCTTTTCCGTCAAGTTTAACCAAAACAGGATAACTATTTCGCGCGCCACAAAATTGCCTACCTGCATTCAATACATTCGTTGCTGTAGTGAGCGTAGCGACATTCTCATCGCTGTTGCAGTCGTTAAAAACCGACCACTGATCCTCTGTTGAGGAGTTCGTCACACAAGAGCTTCCGATAGAAAACTTGAACCCTTTGGGAGCCGTTATTTCCAACGACACATAGTTCTCGCCGATCAGCATGGCGCTCAGGTGAAAGGAAACCTAAAGTTGAAATTCCAATAGGAACAAAGAAAATACGATTCGGTCTAAGGCACTTTTCGGAAATTCTTATAATGGAGTTTCACCCGTGGAATGAAAAACACTAGTGGAAAACATATTTCACGACTACTGCATAGCGCGCAAATATTGGGTTTTTCACAGAGTATTGCGCCACTTCACGTAAAACACCCGTT